TTTGTAGCTACCTCAAAAAAATTAATAACATTTGAAAGTGCCAACCTTATCTGAACCCTTAGTTTATTGCTGATGTTGCCCATGTGGGAACCACTTTGAGAACCACTGATCTAAATAAGGAATATTGGGCAGAATAGCTTTTGAACACTCTGAAACAGATCTTTTAATTAAAGGAGATTATATAAAGTAATTGATAAAGATATTTCTGTGGTAGCAACATAGAAGATTGAGAAAGAGAAGGGTGATAAGCAGAGAGGTAGTTAAAACAGTTCAATTGAGACAGCCTTGAAATCATGAGTGCCTGGTGGCAATGGTGATAGGAAAAGTATAAATATAAGAGGTTTTTAAAAACTAATTCACCAGGATGCCAGCAAGATAGCTCAGAAGACTAAAGTGCCTGCTTAGGCAAGTGCAGGGACCATGGTTTGGTTCCTAGTGCCACATGCTGAGCCGGCCAGAGTCAGGTGTAGTGGCACATGCCTGTAATCCCAGCACTGGGGAGGCTGAAAGCAGGAGGGTCACCATGAGTTGGAGCTGCATAGTGAGACCCTGCAACAACCAAATACATTAAAAAAATCACTAAAGGTACTTGAAACAGATAGTTATAAAGTCCTTATGATGTGAATCATCTCTAAAATGAGAAGTTGGGATCAAGGAGATTATGGGGCCACAGAGGAATGTGATCGATGATGTAGAATGTGCCTAAGGAGAGTCACATGGAGAGAAAACATTCTCTCAGGCTTTCACAGAAAGCAGATTGGTCTAGCAGTGGCCGTGACTCATCCACATGGCTGACACAAAAGATCTACAAATTGTGGTATAGGGTTTCAGGTTAAATCCTGAGGGGATTTGACTGGCCTTATCAGATACAAAGGTTACATTTCTTGTTATATAGGTCTTGCTTTATCTGGTCCTAACCATCCAGCAGAAAAGTATGAAAGTGAAGTATAAAAAGTAAAGCCACATTAATATGCTGAGCTGTAAAAAGCTCAAGTCAACAACTTTGGACATTGCCAGTCTTATGGAAAACCACTACTAGTATGGACTACTGGACTATTGGGAGACTCTGCTGAATTCAAGCACCTACAATATTTAAATAACAATGGAATGCCCTTCTCTGACAAAACTAACTAAAAAAGTGGGATAGAAATGAACAACCCTTTTATATCTGTATACTCAAAATAGTTAAGGTAGATGTACAGCTCCACTCTTAATTCAATGAATAGAGAGGTTTGTTATAATACTGTTTGAGACAGGATATCATGTCTGCATCTTGTACAATGAATAATCACTAAAACAACAATGCAATGTATATTAATTACTGTAAATGTGTCAGTAATCGGTTGTGAAACTGTCTCATTGATATTTGTTTCTCAATAAAATTATTTTTAAAAATAAAATGAGAAGTTGGGCCCCGGAGATAGCTTAGTGGTCTAAGCACCTGCCTGGCAAGTGCAAAGACCTGGGTTCATTCCCTGGTACTGCATGCTATGGGGTATGCCGATGGGCCACCAAGACTGGGCGTGGCGGCACATGCCTGTAATCCCAGTGCTGGGAAGGCTGAAGCAGGAGAATCACTATGAGTCTGAATTGTGTAGTGCAACCCTGTACCAAATACATAATTTTTTTTTAAAGAGAGGTTAATTAGAGATACTTGAGGAATAGTTTTTCAAACTCCATGAAAAGGTCAAGCCATCCATTTGTATGGATAGTATAGTGTCTTGATTGAAATTCCAAACATCCAAGAAATCTTGAACTACTTTAGTCTTCATTTATTTATCCTGCTTAATGTGAATATTTATACATTGCTTTTTTTATTGAGAAATATTTCAGCAGATAAACGATTATGGATCTGTGCCAATACCAATTTTAGATGTTTAATCTTCAAATAACAGAACTCATTCCTTTAAGTTATGATTTGTTAAAGTAGTTTACTTCATATATCATTGGGAATCTGAATAAAGAGAATTCAAAGGCTGAAAACTGTGAAACCAGGTGTGGCTCATGCCTGTAATCCCAGCACTCAGAAGGCTGAGGCAGGAGGATGATAGCAAATTCAAGGTCCGTCTAGACTATATAGTGAAACCCTATCTCCAAAAACAAAGATTAAAAAAACAAAAACTGGCTGGGGAGATAGCTCAGTAGGGAAGTCTTAAGAGTCTGCCTGGCAAGTGCAAGGACCAGGTGCCAGTACTACATGCCTGCTGTTACCACAACCCTGGGCCTGTCAGCCACCAAAACTGGGTGTGGTAGTGCACGCCTATAACCCCAGCACTGGGGAGACTGAGAGCCAAAGTCATCTTGTTTTTTTGTCTTTTTTTTTTTGAGACAGGGTCTCACTGTGCAGTTTAGGCTGGCCTTGAGCTCACTTTGTAGCCCAGGCTGCTCTTTAACTCACATGGATCCTCTTGCTTCAGCCTTCCCAGTGCTGGGATTACCAGTGTGAGCCACCACACCTGACTTTAAACAGTTTTTCTGTTTCCCAGGCTAGCCTGGAAGTCCTAGACTCGAGACATCCTCTTGCCTCAGCTGCCTGAATAGTGGGGAGTACATATGTGTGCCTTTAGACCTGGACTTGTCATTTATAATAGCTAAAATTCTCAGCCTTTTAGTATGTCATACTTTACTTAGAAATTTTATTTGAATCTTAACTGTTTATCTATTAAAAATAGAATTGAGGATTGATATACTGGCCTAGCAACATGGTGTTTTTGTTTTGTTTTGGTTTGGTTTTTTTTATAGTTACCACTCCATAGTAACTCAATTTTCTGGAAAAATTTAGTAATAATCCTGTGTCCTCCTTCAGGGGAGGAGTTGCAGTCTGTTGTGGTTATTCTGCAAAAAATGGCAAAATGCCTGGATCAAAATTAAGAATAATTTTACGAACACATCAGTGATGTGCAAGAAATCTAGCTCTTAGGTTTAGTTAATTGGTTCTCTAGTGAAATGTGGTTGATTGTATGAGAGAAAGTGCGAATGCAGGTTTTTTTTTTTCAGGAAGCGATTGTATTTGTGATCTCTTGTTATCTTTAATTGTTTTCATTATAGAATGGCATATGTGAATATAATCTTCCCAGATTGGGAGCAATATATGAAAATGGTATTCCTGAATGCCTTTGATGGGTTCTTCAAATTCTGTGTATCCTTGGTTTTTACAGAGATTGGCTGACACAATGCTTTCTCTGTTACTTTATAATATGTATTAGCCTTTTTTTGTGTTGACCTTTTGCCTTGTAAGTTACTTTTTCTTTACCATAACAAATGGCTTTGTAGATTATAGGCAAGGTATCTGTCCATATTTCCACTACACCTTTTCTGCATCTGTTTGATTTTTTTCTTTGTTCTTTATTTCTTCTCCTTTCTTTCCTTTTCCATTTACATATTTATCATCCCTCCCTCCTTCCTTTTTATTTTAATTTTAGCTTAGTTCATTAATTCTGTTTTTAGGTCGGATGATGAGCAGAGCTCTGCGGATAAAGAGAGACTTGCCAGGTAGGAGAACAGTGTATTTTAGCATGATGAAGCAGACGCCGCTGCTTTTTCTATCCTTTTTCTTACTCTCTCTTTTCTTCCCCTTTCTCTTTGTATTTTCCCTATCTGTGGCAAGAGAGGACAAGAGTTTTTACAAGTTTGAGTGTTACAGGAACTTTGGCTTCCCCATCAGAAAGTGGGTGAGTTGAGGGAACTTTACTTAGGAATTTAAGAAATTGTTATTAAAGTATTTTCTTTTCCTTTTTACCTCAGCATTCTTTCACAGAACCAAAAGAATTTAGAAATAATGTACCAAAAAAAAAAAAAAAAAAAAAAAAAAAAAAAAAAGAAAGAAAGTACCAATACTAGATGGTACTTTATGAGGAAAATACTCGTCAGAAATCTAGTAAACGGGGCTGGAGAGATGGTTCAGTAGAATAAGTGCTTGCCTGGCAAGCACAAGGACCTGAGTTCAATCCCCAGTTTCACCAAAAAAATAAAATATCTAACCTCAACTTTAAAAAAAAAAAAATCTAGTAAACATACCAGTAGTTGCAATTAATTCTCAGTATTTAAACCTCAGGCATTTACTCTGCACCTCTCTAGAAAACTCACTTGTATTTTCCTATGTAGACTCTGAGCCTAGATTACTGTGTCACAGTAGAACTAGCATTGGTGATTAAAACCTTGTGGTTTGCCAGAAAAAAATTAGCTTCCTTGGTGTGACTGTTTGAAGATTATGTTTTTGTACTTCACTGTCAGAAGTCTGTCAGGTACTAGGGCAGTGGGTACTTGTAAGTTTGAGAGTAGAATTTTATGTATCTCAGGGAAAGTAACTAAAAATGAATATAAGTTATAAGATGTTTCTGCCGTTAAAATTTGCTGTCATTTAAAGTCAAACCTTCTAACACTTTCCCTCTTCAGAAACTAATACATCTTCATGTGGCAAGGAAAGTGTTGGATTGGGAGTGAGGGTAGTTAAAAGTCCTCAGTTTGCTCATCTTATAAAAAAAGAAATTTATATTAGACTAGTATTTTGGGCCTGGGGATATAGCTCAGTGGCATAGTGCCTGCCTGGCAAGCTTGAGACCTAAGTCCTAAGTCTGATCCTCAGTATCTCCCACCCATGTATTAGTTTTTGTTTTTTCAAAGAACTTTTGTTTAGGTAGAATCCTTAAGTAATAATAGAAGGAAAGAAACTTGACAAAGCAAAACTGTTCAGGTGGAAACAAACACACCTGTATCAGATTCCCTTTAAGGCATCCCAGTTCTTATGGAGGATACTGCAGAACCTTCCGGACTTTTCAGAATTACTGTCTGAAAAATTCCTGCATTTTCTCTCTTAAAGGTGATGTCATTCTGACTCAGTTTTGAGGAATGTGGTGTACTTACCCTGGTGAGATTAAAATTCTCTTTCCAGGCCTTTAAACATTTCCCTCTCACTGTATTTCTACTCCCTAGTTCACTTTGTCCCACTGTGGGGACTCATGTGATATCATAGAGTCTCTTAAGTTCACTGCACTGGCTTTAGACCCAAATAAAGAAGGTAGAGCTTTGTGCATCCGTGCTACAAATAAAACTTCAAAATTGTCCAGTTATGCCTTTTAATGTCAGAAGGAAAAAAAACTCAGAAGAAATCAACATTTTTGATCAAGGGGATCCATACTATCATTTCTTATGTCAGATATTGAGCAACATATTTGAATTAACAGAAATTGGTCATTTCTTTTCTATTTTTTGAATAATTTAATTAGAAGAAAAAGCCAGGAGGCCAGGAAGATAGCTCAGTAGCATAAGTACCTGCCTGGCAAACAAGCACAAGGTCCTGAGTTTGATCCCTGGTACTAAACAAACAAACAAGCCAGTTTAGTTTAGTAAACCATTTTTGTGATCAATCAAGGTGAGATTATTTGTCACTGAAGAGCTAAATTCAGTCAACATTTTTAAATACTATCATTTTTATAAGTTATTTTTGTTCTGAGAGGATAGTAATTTATTTACATAAGCAGTAGAGTTTCCAGAAGATAGAATTGTATCTGCTTTTTCTTTCTTTACTTTGTTAGCTTCTGTTCCATGCTTGTTCTGCATGAGAAGTTGGCAAACTTTAACTGCTGAGACTTAAGCATCATTAAACCTAAATACTACATTCTTCAGCAGCTTACTTGGTATCCACATCACTCTCTGCTACCAAATGACCAGATGTGACCACCTGGTTGGGGCTTCTCTCTCTCTCCATGCAGGGAAAATCATAGTGAAATTGAACGGCGGCGGAGGAACAAGATGACAGCTTACATCACTGAACTGTCAGACATGGTACCCACCTGTAGTGCGCTGGCTCGAAAACCAGACAAGCTAACCATCTTACGCATGGCCGTTTCTCACATGAAGTCGTTACGGGGGACAGGCAACACATCCACCGATGGCTCCTACAAGCCATCTTTCCTCACTGATCAGGTCTCTGGGACTTGGAACTATGAAAGTTTTTAGATCTGGTTGAATCTGTTGAAAGTTTTGATTTTGGGGAACAAGAATTCACCTTTCAGGAAAAATGCAAACCATGGAAAAATGAATTTCAGTCCTTGGCTATCATATAAGTATTGGAGTGTAAAAGTAGAGAAAAGTTGTGAAAACTATTTATTAAGCTGATAGATACTTTAGAACTTATCTTGCAAATACAGTCTGTAAAGTAGAAAAAGAAGAGTGGAATCCAAAGAGAGATTACCATGTTCAATGAACTAGTTCTCTTCCATACCTTCAGAATTACTATAAATCTTTTTATCAACCCTGAAAGTTTTTAGTTTTAGTGAAGGAGAGAGGCTAATAGGTAGCCAGTGTTGCTCAGGAATGTGCTGTGTAACATTTGATGCTCTGAGAAAAACAGAGAAGAGGAAGACAAATATTTCCTGCTTTTGAGCACCTCAGTCTGAGTCTAAATATACAAGGAAAGGCCAGCCAGATAGCTCAGTGTATTAAAGCATCTGCTTAGGCAGACACAGAGGCCAGGGGTTCAATCCCTGGCCTGTCATGCCACCCCTGCCCCTGGGGCATGCTGAGATGGCACTTGAGACTGGGCGTAGGGGCACACACCTGTAATCCCAGCATTTGGGAGGCTGAAAACGGGAGGATCAGTACGAGTCCAATCTGTATAGTGAAACCCTATCGACCCTGTACTAAAGTATATTAAATATACAAGTAGCTGGATGTACACAAAGTAAAAAATATTAGGAAGATGCCTTTAGCAAAGAGTTATTTTCCCTTTATTGATAATTTGTATGTGTCTAAATATATACTGGAGGGATAGCATTGAATGGTCAGACTTGAGTGAGTGTGGTGAGGGAAAACTTGTTTCTGTTATTAATTTTGAGAAGTTTTCTGCACATACGTGCACGTGTGTTTTGAGACAGTGTCTTGCTGTGTAGTCCAGGCTAGTCTTATAGCCCAGCCTGGCCTTGAACTCAAGACAAACCTCCTGCCTTGGCCTTTTGAGTGCTGGGATTACACCTGTGCACCACCACACCTGGCTCTTAAGACAGGTTCTTGGTAAATTGACCAAACTGAACTTGAACTAGAGATCCTGTTGCTTCAACCTGCTGAGTAGCTGGGATTGCAGGTATAGACCATTGCTCCTGGCAATATCTTGTCTTTTCATTACAGTAGTAAAAATAACATGATCACAGTAGAAAAATTTGAAAAAACCATAGGAAGTATGAGGAAGAAAAAGTTTACATTGTAGTACTCCAATTTAAGTGAAAGAATTAGAAGGAAGAAATATAATTTGGGAGAAAGAAATAAGAATTATCTGAACAGGGAGGTCTGTTTAAAAGCACGTATAGCACATTTCATAGCTGTATATGTTGTAATAGTTAATTTACTGAACACCTATAGATTTTCAACAAACTGCAGTTAGGTCCCTTTTGTGGGGAAGCTAGGTGCTTTTTATTGGGAAAAACAGAATGATGAGATAGTCATTGTTGGAAACAGGCATGTAAATAAATATATCATGAGCACAAAGTCAGTTTTACAATTAGAGGTACCATAGTAAGGCTTGTGCATGTGAGAGTAGTATTCTAGATTTTTAAAATAAGTTTGAGCAAAAACTTAGAGGTACGAGAGCAATTGAATTATTCAAAGAAAAGTCAAGTGATTTAGCATGTGTTGGGAGATGAAATAGGAAGGAGGCCAGGACCTTGTGATGGAATACTTAGGTAGTAGGGTAAAGAATTTGAAGTTTCAGGCAATGAAGAGCCAGGATTGCAGAAGGTAAAAGCACTGAGACTATGTTTAGTGGCATAAGGCAATTGGAACAGTGATATAGTACTGGAAAGTGGAGTTGTTAGGGAATGTGAGAGAGAGTAGTTAAACTTTGAGGTTTCTAGTCTAGGAGGATACAGTTAAGAAAAAGAATGCTGGAAAGCATAGAGGACACTATGTTTGGATGTGATTTTAACTGTGATTTTTGAAGTGTTGATACTGAGTTGCTGGTATAATACCAGTTTGGAAATGTTTAACAGATACTTGGAAATAAGATTTATTGAAAGTTTAAGAAACAAATAAACAGGCAGGTCTAAGGATATAGACTTGGGTATAACTTTCATAGTGGGGAGAAATGGATATGATTTCCCAGGAAGGAGGGAAGGAAGTCTGTATTTAAGACTTGAGCAGAGGAAAAGAAGCCTAAATTTAGCTGAGGAAGAAGCAAAATTGGAGTGATATCTCTTTGAAACAGCTAGGGGAAAATTAAGGGAGTAGAATGGACAACATTGTGAAATTCTGTAAGAAATTGAGGGTCTTTGGTTTTGTTTTTTTTGAAACAGGGCCTCACTATGCAGTTTGAGCTGGCCTTGTGCTCACTTTTGTAGCCCCCAGGCTGGTCTCGAACTCACAGAGATCCTCCTGGCTCAGCCTCCCGAATGCTGGGATTACAGATGTGTACAACCATGCCTGTTCTGGGCTGCATGGTGGGTGCCTGCATATGGGGCCAAGACTGCACGCTTGTCGGGCTGAGGATTGTGCTTACCAGGAGGGTGCTTGTGCCTCTGTGCTCTCTCTCCGGCCCCAAGAATTGAGTTTAAAAATGATGAAGGACCAGCCCAAGAAAAGGAATTTACGGGACTGGGGAAATGGCTCAGAATATGTGCTTCCCTGGCAAGCACAAGGGCCTGAGTTCAATTCCTGGTTCTGCCAAAGGAAAAAGAAAAAAGCAATTTACATTGGCAATAAAGAGAACATTTATAGGGCCAAGACTATAGCTCAGTGGCACAGCGCCTGCCTGGCAAGTACGAGGTCCTGAGTTTGATTCCCAGCAGCTCCCAAAAAGATTTATCAACTCCTTAAGAAAATTAATATGATGGTGTTGAGTGGAGATTGGGGTGAGATTGACAACTAAATAAAAGATAAGAGAACAGAAGCATTAAATATAAAATTATCCATAGTTATAGTTGGCACTAAACAGCCAAACTGAGAAACGAAGTGAGGAAATACTGTATTTATAGGTCTAGAAAGAAAGAGAAAAAATGGGTATATTGGTGATAAGATCTTTAAAAGAGACCAGAGAGGATGGGATCAAAAAGTCAGTTATTGTTGCTAATAAGGCTTTTTATTTTCCCTCTTGCAAAGGAAGAGATAGTGACATATGGAAATTGAGGAAATACTGAGTGAAACTTTCTTGTTAATGAAAGTAATTACTTTAGGGTAGAAACCTGTTGCTGTGGACCAAGTACAAGCCAGTAGTTACTTATGGAGATATACATATGGCCTGAAGAATCTTATTTCAAATAAGTAGAAATATTTGATTTATAGAACTCACTATTAACTCTGATTTCTTTTCTTTGGCCAGGAGCTGAAACATTTGATTTTGGAGGCAGCAGATGGCTTTCTGTTTATTGTCTCATGTGAGACCGGCCGAGTGGTGTATGTCTCGGACTCAGTGACTCCTGTTTTGAGCCAGCCACAGTCTGAATGGTTCGGCAGCACACTGTATGATCAGGTGCACCCGGATGATGTGGATAAACTTCGCGAGCAGCTTTCCACTTCAGAAAGTGCCTTAACAGGTGAGAGCTGTGTGGATGGAGAATGAATGGGAAGTCCTTCCCTCTTTATTTTTCTAAAACATAACAAATGTTTAAGCTCTGAATTGGTTTTTCAAATCTGGCAATATTTCTAGATATATCTCCTTTAATAGACTCAGTCCTTTTTATCCATATTCAACGTAGCCTCTTTGTACTTTAGAAAAGTTTTCATTAGTGATAATGCTCATATAAACATTTATTTTTAATCTTAATATTATTGTAAATAAAAGAATGAAAACTAACCTTGTAGTAAGTCTTTTTTCCTCCTATACTAAAAGAGTTATCTGTGCTTCTACCTCATTTGTATGGATAAGTTACTTGGTATTTTTTCTACCCAAGCTTGTGATTGGTTTTTGCTTAGGTTCTCTGATAACAGACTTTATAGAGGAGTGGCTGTTGGTCAGTATGTAAGGTGTTTTTTGCTGCCTGTGGCTGGCTGCTAGCTGGCCTCCTTCCCTCCCTCCCTCCCCTCCTTCCTTCTATAAATGTGCTATTATCTCCACACCCCACTTCCATTTTATTTTATTTTATTTTATTTATTGTTTGTTTGTTTTGAGACAGGGTCTCACTGTATAGTTCAGGCTGAACTCACTGTATAGCCCAGGCTAGCCTTGAACTTGTAGTAATCCTCTTGCCTCAGCCCCCAAAGTGCTGGAATCACAGGTGTGTGTCACCATGTGTGGCCCTACTTCCATTTTAATATGATCCAGTTCTTTTGCCAAAACTTGACTGGAGAAAACAAGTTATATCTGTTCCTAAGCAACTATAGGAGAAGTTTTAAAGTAGGAGAAGATAAAAAATGGTAGTTAAAATTACAAAAATTCCAATATGGTCATATTAATGTTGATAATTCACTTTCCCCTCTTTTTTGGGGTGGGGTGCTGGGAATCAGACTCACAACCTTGAGCTTGCCAGGCAGGCACTGTGCCACTGAGCTATATCCTAAGCTTTCCCCTCTTTTATGTTTTATGGATTTTTTTTTCTCCTCGTTCTTCCTTTTCCCCAGAAGTTGTCCTTGGTTTCTATAAAGGAGAGAAATACTTTTATTTTGAGACTGATGTGTGTTTTTCTTTTATATGTGTGTTTCTTTATCATATGCCTACCTTTCCTTGCATAGAGTTATTTTCCATGCTGTCTTTGAACTTAAAGTGATATTCGTAGATGAGATTAAAATACTTTAGGCTTAAAAAAAATCTGCCTGCTGCTTGGCCTGTTCTAACAAGGTTAGATGGTATGAGTGGGGTGCCTCCTTGTCCTCCCCTCCAGTATTGCTTCCTTCCCCACTCATAAGAATGCACTTCGGATTGCTCTTCACACCCTTCTTCAGGGCGCATCCTGGATCTAAAAACTGGAACAGTGAAGAAAGAAGGTCAGCAGTCTTCCATGAGGATGTGCATGGGCTCAAGGAGATCATTTATTTGTCGAATGAGGTGAGTGTCAGAGGATTGTGTTTTGGAACAGGAATAATCAAGAGCTAAAGTTTTTATTTCTGTCTGAGGAATTACCATTTTTAAATCTAAAATGAAGTTCCAAGCTTCATTAAATGTAATTCTCAAAATCCAGATGGATTGTAACACAAAATAAAGTTTTCAGTAAGGGATTTAACATTTCCTGAACTTGTCCTGTGCCAGACACTGTTATTGATGCATTATGTCTGTCATCTTATTTCATCCCCACAGCTACTCTATGGAGGAAGATTCCCGGTTACCATTCTGTTGATTAAAAACTCAAAGCAGTTAATTTTCCACTGATAGTATCTTTTTTTTTTTTTGTTCCTTGAATGCCTTCAGGGCACTTTTGGCCAGCTGGAGAGTTGTGAGGTTCGAACTCCAGCAACCTGAGGCTGACAGTTTTGTGGAAGCAGCCACTTAAAGGACTGAGCTAGGGCCAGCCCCCCCCCCCCACTGACAGTATCTTATACAGAATTTTGTTATATTCCATAGTAGTCTGACTCTTAAAACCTGCATTTTTCCCCTTTATAGCTCCATGCAGCACCTGTGCACTCAAACCATTTCTATATTATTATTATTATTGTTATTAGGTTAAAAATTTGAGATATCTTTTAAGTCTTTAAGTTACTGTTTAATGTTTATATGCTGTAATGTACATTTTAGGATTCTGTAGAAAGGGTGGTGGTCTATTCCATAGGTAGAAAAGTTATCTCTTAGTATTGGAGATATACCTCTGGTAGAGTGCTTGCCAGGCATGTGGGAGGGGAAAGATGGGGAAAAATTCACTCTCTCCCTCTCTGAGCCCCCAAGCCCTTCCCCCTACCCCCCATGGATTTTTGATTGTAGGGATTGAGCTCAAGGCCTTACATGGGTGAGGCAATCACTCCTACCAGTAAGCTCTCTCCTGAAAAGGCCTCTCTTAACTACAGTTACAAGATTAAGTTCAGGTTGTATTCTGAAGTTCAGCTACATTGTACTGAGAGATTGCTTAGTACAGATGATAGATATTAAAGGTTTTCTGGCTGAGATGGCTGGCGCATACCTATAAATCTCATACTTGGAAGCTGGGACAGGAATGTAGCCAGTTCAAGACCAACCTGGGTTACATAGTAAGGTCAAGGCCAGTCTGAGCTGCATAGTAATAATCTGTCTCAACTCAAAACAAAACAAATTAAAAAAAGAAAGAAGAAGAAGAAGACAAAGATGAAGATGAAGAAAAGAAGAAGGAGAAGGAGAAGAAGGAGAAGAAGGAAGGAGAAGGAGAAGAAGGAGAAGAAGGAGAAG